TTCTGATTAACATTTATTTAATAAAGATGCAGTTTTGGCCAATTCGGCAAATTTGTCGAAAACGACACAGGCCCAAAAATTGCAGTCAAAATTCAGGAATTTTTTTCTCGTCGCCAAAAATGAAAAAACAAAAAATGCTCCGTCAGCCGAAAGCCAATACAATACAGATAACGAGCATATTTTTTATTTTTGTTTCAGACGACTGGTTTTCGCGAAATCATGTACACCATCCGACCATGCGTGAAAATCATAGGGATACGCGAAGCGGCTTTACTCGACGAATTTTATATTTTCTTGGGGGACGATAAAACGACACGTCTTTGGACCGAAACTATTCATCCAACCAATTTTACATTAAAATATTTCTAATATATAACGTTTTTATACTTTTTATTCTAATACTACAATTAAAAAAAGCGGCAGTAATTGGGACACTGGCAGTAATTGGGACATTTACCCTATAAATTTCTAAAATTCTTAATTGTATAAAACATTCGTTGTACAGACACTTTCTCCGTCCTGGAGCATCGAATTCATTTATACCGCATGAAGGAAATGAAGATAAACAAGAGAGGAAGTCAAAGGAGACTCACAATGTTAAAGGTAAATGCACTTGTTTAGATTTCTATTTAAGTAACGTGTTATTATGTACTGTTGTACTGAGTTATAATTAATTCTGTGTTTAGGAGACCAATCGAGAACAATCTTAAAAAAGAATCTTGCGGAGGAACAAACGTTAAGGATGCGCAAAAATTTGGATGTTAGTAAGTAAAATTTTCAGAAACTCTCATTCTGAGTTTATGTTCAAGAAAACTTTTTTACTCTGCTTTGTGTTCACAGATGACGACGCAAATTCCACAAATGATGAAGGATTAAAGAAGGTAATGTACAAAATAAATATTGGACTGTCTCTCTCTCTCTCTCTCTCTCTCTCTCTCTCTCTCTCTCTCTCTCTCCATCTCTCCTTCTCTTGCAAAAAAACGGAAAACCCGAAAGCCAATCTTATGGATTGGTCTTCGGAGGATGACTTAGAGAAGGAACTATATATGGCTTCGTCATCAAACAACCCAGAAGAGCAACGTATGGATTGGTCATCCGAGGACCCAGAAAAGGAACGTATGGATTGGTCATCCGAGGACCCAGAAAAGGAACGTATGGATTGGTCATCCGAGGACCCAAAAGACAATAAAAATATGGAATGGGAGTCTGACGATGGGTCGTCAACAGACAATAATAAAATAGACTGGGAGTCAAACGACTCAAAAAACCAAATGATTTGTGAGCGAGTATATGATAACACGGAAGAGGAGGTATTTATGATACTAAATAATTTAAATCGAATAAATTTCTGATACACTGTACATTGTTAAACTTACACTGTGTAAGTATAACAATGGATAACAGTGTATCAGATAAAAAGTGTCTTGCATTGCCATATTAATATATGCATTTCTTTTAACAATTTTTGCAGTGACACGTGACTGACGTGACGTTACTGGATCACATTCCTCTCTCACGAAAACTAGGGAATATAACCTTTTGCGAAGTAATACAAGTTTGTATATACACAAGCCAGATTTAAATATATTGTATAATGCAAGTAAATATAAAATATAAATACAATATTAATTAAAGTGCTGTACATAATATAATATAAATAATACAAATCTTTGAAAACATACTTTCTCGACGAGAATGGACACGTGCAGAATCCAGAACTCCCGGCGACTCGAAGCAAGAGTCAGTTGAGTGCCCGCATGGAGCGCGACAATGTGAATACAACGGATGAGCAATTTGACCAATGGATATCTGGACTATAACGCTTAATTATCTCTCTCTTGCTCAATCGCGGTTTATTCACGCGTCTAATTGTAAGACGCAAAGTAAATGTACAGCCTTTTCAGAAAATTATGTTAGACGAATTTATGGATTGGGAGTGGTTGGAGGACCCAAAGGATGAAAACATGGATTGGATGCCAGAAGAAAATCAATTTATGGAATTAGAGGTACTGGTGTTACTAATTAATTTGATTAAACGATTATAATTGTACATTGTACTTATACATACCGTCCATGGGATTACAATGAAAGGATGTAGATAATCCCATGGACGGTGATATGTGTAAGTATAACAATGTACAGTGTATCAGATAAAAATTCTCTTGCATTTCCATATTTAACATATGCATTTCTTTTTTGAACAATTTTTGCAGGAGACGAGTACATAGACACGAGTACATGGCAATAAATACAAAAGCTTTCACTGATTGTGAGAAAAATTTCCATCGGATAAACCAATTAAATAGCGTTTCCGATGGTTAATTTTTCCGATTACGTGTTTCGATTAAATTATGGATACATCCGATAAAATTTATCCGATGAAATACAGTTACCGATGAAATTTGATTGGAAAACCGATCATATTTTTCATCGAGTATACAATTTAATTGGATACAATTTAATTGGATCCGTTTTTATGTAATTGGATTATCCGATTATATTTAATTGGTTATTTTTCTCAGTGTTATTATATAATTTTCCTCTTCAAATGACAGCTATGAGATTTGTATTAGAAAAACAATAAACTTTATCCATGTATATATAAGTGTATTTATTTTCAGCTTACAGCCAAGAAAAGGACTTGGTTTACAATTAATGCTTAATCCACTCATCCATCCATACTTGTTCGCACCTACTCTAATTTACAACTGCCTATCTCTTTCTTTACAATGTTTCTTTCCCTTTTTGCTCTTCTTCTTCCTTCCTACTCTCCCTAACATACCTCTCTCTCTCTCATTCCATAACCTTTTTAGTAACCTCTCTTTTTCTTTGCCTAATTCCTCGTTACAGAGCTTATCCTTTTTCCCGTATTTCTGCCTAAATTAATAAACCAGTCTTTGACTATCGTACATTCTCCCACGTAGTGTTCCAGGTTATCTCTGCCCTCTTTGCAAAATTTGCATCTCCAATCCGCCTCCTCTAACCAGTATTTGTTCGCCTCCTCCATATTTCCACATCTCAGTCTAATCAATGCTCTGATTCCATCGCCTAATAAAACCTTCTCAATATTCTCCTTTAATAAATATTTGGGTTTTCCATATACTACCCCTATCTTTGTATATCTTTTATTAAACCTCGAATTTCTAATTTTACTCTCTATTATTTGTTCTTGAATGTCTTGTTCCCTTTCTCTAACAATACTCTCCATGTCAGCACCTTCCCTTCTCAAAATTCTTACCGCCTCAAGTCCCCATCCCATATTATTATAATAACTTTCCCTTTCATCGCTAAATAAATCTTTCTTCCCTTTTACCAATCCATATTTTACTTTTTCTTTTTCCTCCCAACATGCTACGACTAATTTATTCTTTCCGCTCTCTCTACTTCTTTTTTCATACCTCATTGCTCTAATACCCCATTCGGTTTTCAGTTTCTTTCTACCGATAAAAAATTATGTGTTAAGACATAATTTTCATCCGATGCATTAAAATTATGTCAAAACATAATTTTAATTCTGAATTTTAATTATGTCCCGACATAATAATAATTGAATGAATTAAAGTTAACTTGGGACATAATAAAAATTCGGTTTTATTTGTTTAGAGGTAATTTAAATTCATCCAATTTTTATTATGTTCGACATAATTTTAATTCATTAATAAGAATCGCACTTTTTCTTAAGATAATTATTTTTTGAAACTTTTATATCGAGTAGAATATTATTTATGCTACTGAAAAATGACACGGCATGCCATAGGGGCGTAGACATACATACCGACATTTTTCTGAATGTGATTTTTGGACGTTTTGGAACATTCTAAACATGTTTTCAAAGAAAACTAGGAAAAAAATTTTTTCACGAAAACAAAGCTTCCTCTATGAAGAAGCAATGGTTTATTTGAAGTATCGTCCCTCGCTAGCTACACATTTTTGCCATCTCTCTGGCAATACATGAATACCGCGACGATAAAACGACACGTCTTTGGACCGAAACTATTCATCCAACCAATTTTGCACTTCTTTGAAATTGGCCAAGTGTAGCCCAGCCAAGCCATGCACCATCGATCGGAACAAGTGTCGGCCTAATCGGCCAAGTGACATGACGTATCAATGACGAAGAAACTCTCATGGTCATTTTTATATGCATTAGCGATTAATTTTGTGATTACTTTGTCAACATATTTGATATTGCTCTGTATAATGTTAAAATAACAGTGTTATCAAGCAAACCAAGAATCATTCTTAAAAACTTGTTTTATATAATTTGAAGTCTTTCTAGTAAATTTAAATGTACACGAACTGCAGCAGTCTCCACAGGAGATGCATAAAGTAATGCAGGTCAAGCGCACACTTTATACATTAAGAATTTTATGAAAACATTTAGTAAACTGCTCAAATCAATCATAAGACACCACCCAGATAACAATTCTTGCGCGCAAATTTTGCTTGTCTTACGCATGTAAATTTGTATGCGATTTGCCCGAGTTTTGTCCGTAAGATATGTTCAGTCTGTGCTTTTGCACGCAAGTGGCTAGCTCGTGTATCAACGTATAATTGTGCGCGCAAATATCTATCGACTCGCGTACAAAAATGGCTCAACAGCGCAAGCAAAATTCTATGCAAGTGCGTCGTCGTAATGCCACATGTTTGCGCGCAAAATGTTTTCTGGGCAGGTTTTAAGGATTTCAAAAGACTTACGAAATGCAATCATGTATGGCAAGTCTCTATCCGAGACTAACATTCAAAATAATACCCACGTATATATCAGTATCACTCCAAGGAATGGCATGGTTCAATATCTTAATCAATAGAGGCTCAAATGACGATGTCCAGATGGGCCTAACGTGGTTCACAATAAGAATATTATTGTAATGAGACCGAAGAGTAGAGTCTAAATATATCACTCTTTCTGATTTAAATGACTGGGATTGAGAGTAATGACCCTTTTTATATTATGACTGAAAAGTAATTTTTTAACCGTAAAAATAGATATTAAATAACTCTACATGTTGTGTAGAGGTATTGAACGTATGTGACATAAACTATTTAAGAACTGAAGTTTCACAAACGTTATATAAGGCACTTAGTTTGTATAACCAGATATCCACCGTTGCCGCGTGGAAGCATGTCTTATAAAAGGTTATGACTACTTTGAAGGTTTGCAAGTCCTTCCAGCACCAATCAGTCATTATGGTTCATCCGGACTAGGCTTGTAAAGCCCTTTCAGCACCAACCAGTCACTACAAGCTAGTGCAAACAAGGTTTATCAAATTCTCTCAGCACTAACTCAGCAATACGGACTAGTACGGTCTAAGCTTATAAGCTTTCCCAGCACCAACCAGCCACTACACCTGGTCCGGACTAAACTTGTAAGCCATCCCAGCACCAACCAACCACTACAGCTGGTCCGGACTAAGCTTACAAGTGTTCCCAGCACCAACCAGATATCATAGCTCGTTCGGACTAAGCTCACAAACCTTCCCAGCACCAACTAGCCGTTATACCTGGTCCGGACTAGACTTATCTAAGCTTACAAGTCTTCCCAGCACCAACCAGCCATTGAAACAATTCAAATCACCCTGGATACTCTTTGTCAGAGCTTTCAAATACCACACAGATATCACTGTAACTCTCGTGACTTCAGATCTACTCAGTTATTTCGCTGAGGGCCTTTGGCAGGTATCTCCTCCTTTCAAGCCTTAATACAGTCCGTGATGGCCAAAAAACTTTTCAGATATTATCTCCACTACCCAGTATTGTGTCTAAGGTTATGCCCATTGGGAAAATTTCTCTACTCTTCAAGATCTTTCCAATTACATATATACTTACTGTGAACTAGTTTAGGCCAAGGCCTGATAGAAACTGGACATTCTCTTTTTGTTTGCGGATGAAAACAATGGCCTGTTTT